TTTAGTTTAAAAGGGCCTCCTTTTGGAACCACTGCTCATTTACGTTTATTATAACATCAACTACTTGGACTCATGCGATGTTTCTAAATAGTTTGGCCTTAAGCATGTGCATGTGTGTAGTGTGTGTGTGAGATATAAACTAATCATTTAAAGTTATTTAATTTTCAGTGCCCAAACCTCTCTATTCCCTTTGTAAGTGTAGAACACATGGTTAATCCTTGGACAATTTTATTTCAAAATCAATTTCTCCATTTTAATCTAGGACACATTAGCATTCCAAAGGATACAACTAACTCACATCACCAGTGATCTAGATTACGGATAATCGAGGTTAAAGAGGGTGGTGTATCAAGCCATTGGGCCATTTTCCTTTTCTCGCTTCCATCTTGACAGGGTCTGAAGGTGTGTGCCAACTATGAAGAAGGCCTCTGATGACATGAATGATAGCAGGGTTTTAGGTTAGCATCTCTAGACGTGATGTATCAGAACTCTGCAGTTGGAACAGTCAATTTTTTCAGTAATAGGACAACACCGCCTCATTTTTCTAGCTGTAAATAATTGTGGAACCAAGTTGATGGATCTGCCTAGAGAAATGAAATGATTGGAGTCATCCTAGCAACTTTCGACTTCTGTTGAAACCAGATCCTTGATTGCAAAAATATAGCAAGGTTTCTTGCTGTACATATATGCTGAAAGAGAAGTTCTGAGAAATGTTATTTAATTTAAACTAGAAACCTAGCTAAGCTCTGGGTACCTAGAAGTAACAAAAAGAAACGAGAGGAAAAGTTATGCCATTAGAGGGCACTTTTGTAATCTTAGAAGAAAAGTCTATTCTTTTAGACTGGCTTACCCAAGGCTTATTCTTAAGAAGAATGTATTTTTAGTTATTTGTTTAAAATGATTAATTATTAAACTAGCTGAATGTCTGAGAAAAAATGTTTTATTGGTAGGGAAAGAATCTATAAAATCTTAAAACTATCCTTTAAGCGATATCTAAGTAAGATTTAAATTCAAACGGTTGAATATAACTTGTAAAAATATGCACAATATGCATACATAATAGTTTTCGATTAGCTATATTCAATGCTTCTTTTAAATACATTTGTTAAAGAAAATTCTGTCTGTAACCTGATCAAATTGAATAAATGATGGACTTTCTCTAATAACTACATTTTCCCCAACAATAAATGAATGTTATTAGATAACATTTTGGAAACTACAATCCTACAGAAAATAAAGTGCTGTGTGTTGGGGTTATACTAATTTTTCTTCTAGTTTTATTGAAAAATAATTGACATGCATCACTATATAAGTTTAAGGCATACAACATGATGGTTTGACTTATGTATATTGTGAAATGATAGATTCAGCTAACGTCCATTTTCTCATATAAATACAATTAGAAGAAAAGAAAAAAGGGACCATACTAATTTTAAGCCTTCTCTGAAAAGGATCTGTTTTGCTTATAATTGATGTGGCAATTAAAATTATTTAAATTGTTTCCAAAACAAAAGGTGTGACCTGATAGAATTTTAGCTGGGCAAATCTGATATTTTTTAGTAAAGAAAGGAAAAGATAAAGTTGAATCTGTTCCCTATCGGTGGCAATGTAAATCAAAATGTCTACCTGACCCGGTAAAGTAGATAAGCTAGTAAAATAATTTAATAAGTAAGTGCTTAGTGTCAAGAGCTGGGAGGCGTTTGAGGCTTTACCCTACTTGTGAGCCAATAAGTTAGCCTGCCGTTTTCTAGCTGCTCGAGGGCATGAGAATCCTGGGTGAAGGATAAGTGACTTCGGTTACTCAGAGCAATGGCAGAACCCACAGTATCATGGTTTTCTCCTACTGGCTCCCTGACCCCCAACGCCCACAGGATGATGCAAAGAGGGCCACGTGGCACCAGCTCATGTAGTGGGGTTCATGGCAAGGGAGGAGCCCTGAGCTTAGGGAACCCAGATCTTTGTAATGGCTAGTGGCCATGCCTGCTCTTCGCTCCAGCGGTTTTATGTCCCAAGGCTGTTCACTACACTGACAGACAGCCTTGGAAAGGTGATCTCAGCCAAAGGCAGTCAGTCCTGCTCCCAAGAGATGCGAAAACCAGCCCAGGGACCCCAGGAGAACTGCCTCAACACTTACTCTGCATAATCTGACCGCCTGAAGATCCTCATGTTACCAAATGCTACATTGCTAAGTAGCTGATGGAGGAATATACATGTATAATAATCATATTTTTAAAGGCACTCATGATAAATAGTTCGTATTTCTCACATATTGTATTCACTCTGTGATCTTACCTGTCTGAGCCTTCGTTTGATGATCATTTTTGAAAGGAGAAGAATAATAGTGCCCACATCGTACGGTTGTTGCTAGCATTCCATGAGATAATGTATGTAAAGCACTTAGAAGAGTGCCTGGCGTGCAGCATGTACAACAGAATGTATTAATGTTGTTATTACTCAAAATTCACATCTCATAATGAGCTGACTTAATAAAGTGAAAGTTCTTCCCATGGGTAGTGGAGGATGCCGGGAGAATTCCCATCACCCGGAGCTAGCAGGCTAACTCTGGGGCTGACCTACATATCCCGAATACCCTGGGGGCACTGGACCGCTTGGCCTGCTCAGTAGTCCTGTGCAGCTGACAGCTTCATGGGCAAACGCGGGGCCTAATGAGGCCAGGCACCCTTAGTGGTTCTAGGCCGATACGCCCGCTTGGATCACACTTCACTGCTGTGGCATGTTCCCTCTAAGTTCCTAATCAGTGTGGAAAGCCAAATCTCACCATTTCTAAAGAGGCATATTTTAGTGTCTAGCTTCCTCGGCTCTCAGGAGGCAAAGTTCCAGGGATGCTACTCTAAAGTAAACTGAATGTTTCATTATGCTGAAATAATAAATATTTCTTAACAGGGGCAGCATATCAAATTCTATTCAGATTTTTGATATCTGTTAGCTATAGGAGGAGGGACATCGGAAGGGAGGGATTAAGGACTGGCGTGGAGGTCCCGCCCAGTTCAGGCCACCATGTATGTATCCCTATCTGTTTCCAGGTTCACTGAGTTTTGAATTTGATCCATCCAGACATCTTTTGTAGAGACAACCCTTGTCTGCTGGTGGTGACTCACGTGTGCTCCCACTTACAGCCCCAGTTTCCCTTAGATTTCACCTTGATAATCATCTGGGTAGCCGAGGGACAGATTATTGAAGAAAATTTAGGCCTGGTCTTATTCCTAAACTGTGAACTAGTTGGGAAGAGGAGATTAGTGTTATTAGTTTCAGAGTCATCATTCGTTTTCAGAGTTTAGAGATCATCTATCCAAACCCTTCAGAAAATGAAGGCCTAGGGTGGTTCAGTGAATTGCCTAAGATTATGTATCTAGTTAGGAGCTGAACCTAAAAAGTTTCTTAGCTCTCAGTCATGTGTTCCTTCAGTTACAATACAGTAGAGAAAACAGATGGGAAGTAGGAGCCTTTGGTGAGAAATTATAATATTATGGCTTTCTAGAGAGAGATTATAGCCGATAAACGTTTGAGCTCTGCAGTCAGATGCCCCTGGGTTATGTCCTTTCTCTGCTCATGTAAAAGGAGGTTTACTCTTGTACCTGCTTCACAAGGTTATTGTGAGGACTAAATGCAATAACGCAGCGGGTGAACTTAGCGCCCTGTGTTGCCCATAGTAACTCAGTACAGATACTTTGTATGGAAAACCACAAAACACATGCAGAAAAAAAATGGAAAAAAGTTAAATGAACTTTCTGAGCAAGCTCACTGTGAAAAAACTACCTCTCACACCTCATTAAAAAAAAATAAAAGCTAATTCCCTTCAAAAATACTTTTAGTTGTATGAACCTATTTTTTATAGTACTCAAAAAAAGATAAAATTAAGGTCAAATGATGGTTTAAGTAGCAGTGACCTCAGAGCTATAGTAATGATTGTTGAGAAATAAAACCAGCTTTCACTTCCTGTTACATTCCCGCAAATACTGGCAAATACTGGCACTTGGCTTCCTCGCTACTGAAAGTACTTCAACGCGAAAACACTGTTCTTTCCCTAACTGCTTGGGTTCCCTGATGCATGTTGTCAGAGATAAGGTGCAACAACTATGTGGTTCTTCCCATGACGAAAAGGGCACCAAACCCTCAGAGGAAGCAGAGCCTTTCACTGGCATTTGCCTGTCTGAGGCTCCGCTTTGGGGACACTGAGACACATAGAAGGTGGTGTCCTTGACAACATCCCTACAGCAGTGTAGACAGCGATCCATAATGACAAATAGGACCTTTGATGAAAGGCAGTGACGAATGCCAAAAAGTGACCTAACGACACGACTAGTGTCCAGCGGTCTCACTTGGTCTGAGAGTGGGACTTGAAGCCCCTTTCTAGTGCAGCAGAGGCATCTGTATAAAGTTGTGTTGAGGAGTCTGGTACACTGTAATAATTAGACATCGACAAATAACCCACCTTGTGACGTTGCTTAACCCAAATTGCTAACCTGTGAAAAATGTTAAACTTTATAATCTCTAAAAATCTCTGATATATGGAAATCTGGTTTGGGGAATAAAAATATTACAATTCATGTATAATGCTTAGTCAAATTTCAGGGAAGAATTAAAACAATTGTGCAGTGGTCATTTTCTGGCCCTCAGTGGGTCTCTGTGACTTCTGTTATGGTTCAAGCTCTGGGACGTTTGTGTACAGGTCTCTACAATGGCCACGTTGGCTTCCGCCATTACAAGAGGGATTTCCTCTCAACACCCAGGGAGGTTAATGCACCAGGAGTCCTTTAACACCAAAATCTTTTTAATATCTGACATTCTAGTGAATTCGTTATCAGCTCCATGAAATACTTTGGGGGAAAAAAAGGTGTTGTTTTTAAGATCATGTGCATGTATCCAAAATACATAATACAGGTCCTGTCAATAATAAAATGGTGTTAACCCTGTGAAAATCGGCAACTTACTCATGTGTGTGCCTGCAGAACTGACATAAGCAATTGTTTGTCACCCAGGATGGTGCCTCTTCAGTGGTGTCTGCTGTGGTTGCTGTTTCCACTCGGCTCATGGACCCAGAAGTTTCCCACGCGAGATGAGGAACTCTTTCAGATGCAGATCCGGGACAAGGCATTTTTTCATGATTCGTCTGTAATTCCAGATGGGGCTGAAATTAGCAGTTATCTCTTTAGAGACACACCTAAAAGGTACTCTCCCTACGGTACTTTCTTTATCAATGAGCTCGTAAAGGATGCCTCCGGAAAAAGGAAGTCGCCTTTTACACTGCGTTTAGATAATTTGAAATCAACCTCGGAGTAGCACTACCTATTTTCTCTAAGTAGGAAAAACATGGCAGCACAATGTCTAATCCTTAAATACAGGTCCTGCGGTTCTTGCTGATGGCGACCTCCTTTGGGATGGAGAGGGCGATCCTTGCATTGCTTATATTTTGGAATGATTATTTTCTTTTCTTCAGGATAGCAGGAAATTTCTAAGGACTCTCTAGGATTAAAATGATATTAACTAAATACATATTGATTCTTTAAGGGTTTGCATTAAGTCTTCTAAGCATAATACTTGTTTGACCCACATGATGAGATTCTGAGAGAGTCAAACCAATGATAAAAGCCGACACTACTCATTTACTTCACGTCAACATCTACAAATTGGGCTCCCGTGATGCTTTTAAATATTCTGACTTAAAAAATTACATGTATAAATAAATATGTTTATGATGTATGCATCATATAATTATATTTAAAGTTACTAACTTTGCAGTGCCCAAACTCCTCTCTACCATATTTCAAAAACAATTTCTTCTTCTAACCTGGGACACATTGACATTCCGGAGGATAAAACTATGTCACGTCATCGATAATCCATTTTCCAAAGATTGAGGTGCATCACATCATTAGGTCATCTTCCTCTCGCCACTCCAGTTTTGATAGACAGTAATAATGGAAGATGGTGTTCCCTCCCACTTCGTGGCCCAGTGTGTCACCATCTGGTCAGTGGATGTTTGGAGGGGATGGGTTTTCCTATCTTGACTGATATGACCTGTGGTTTGATCATTATTTCAGCACTGCCTGAATGAAATTATGTGTTTGAATGCATACAATAGATTAGGAACTAACTCAGTAATATATGAAATAATTATGAATTATTCAATGAAGACTAGGAATGAAGGCACAAAATGCAAGAATGATGACCTTGAAAGACCTTGATATCCAACCGTTTACTGAGGATCAGTATAGGAAAACAGAAAAGGGTATTGGAGGCAATCCCAGTAATTCGAATCAGCCTTAAATCAGCTGAGTTTTTACCAGACATGTCTTGCTTTTTGTATTATTTTGTCTCTTGAAATTTGTCTTTAAAAATTATTGTAATTTCCCAAATGCACATGTATATTGCTTTGCAGGATACTTTAAATACAGCATTCCACATTATGCACTCATAGCACTGAGTCAAATAAGTAGTTTAGCCTTGATCTTCCAGTCTCTCAAAATTAAATAAGTTTTTTTTTTAAGATTTTATTGGGGAATTGGGGGAGGGGAACAGTGCTGGGGAATCTGGGGAAGGGGAACAGACAAGTTGCTGTCGTTTTGTCTTCAGTCTAGTTGTGGAGGACGTCGCTTCACTGGCTCATGTTGGTATTATCATTGTGCTCTTCCCAGGTGAGGTAGATCAGTCACTGGCCTCTGGACGGCCGCTCACTGCGGCTCTTGGCAGCTCATACCGGCTGCCAGCCGCTCACACTGGCTGCCAGCCACACATGGTAACTTATGGCAGCACACTGCAGCAGGGGCTGCAGCCTACGCCGTCACCAGCGACTCAGGGCAGCCCAGCTCCAGGTAGAGCTGTTGTTCACCATCTTAGCTGTAGAGGGCAGTGTCATAGGCCCCCATGTGGGACCGGAACCAGGGCTTTGTGCGGGAGACCAGCTCCCGCAGGTCCAGGGGTTCCCTCAGGTGGAGGTGGAGTCGGGGAAGAAAAAGGGAAAAAACGCGCGGAGACACAGGAGCGCTTTTTTTCAAGAAGTGTCTCACTTTATTTTACAGCATGCCCCTTTTTATACCGGGCAGTTTAACCATTGTTCCATTAGTATCAGGGTTTTAATTCCTCATAATTCTTATGCTCCAGGGTACAGCTAGACCTTTTCTATGCTAAAGACTAATTTATCCCAACTACGCCCAAATCCCTCCACCTACAATGACTGCTACCAAGGCCTGAGCCTCTACATAATCGCCTAAAGGATGGTTACCATGACCACCCAACATTTATTCTAAAAACTATTGTCTAAGCAGGATCTTCAGATTTACAGGGTGTGTACTTTGACCTTTACTAAGAGACTAGTAGTGTGACTAAAATTACCTTTAGTGTATAAAATATAATTATTGTGATATATTAGAAGGGGTGTAAGATCTTCGTCCTACTGGGGGGCATCCAAAGGGGAATTTAAATTCTTTAAGATATAAAGCAGTATCTGTTTCTCAGTCAGAGCTTCAGAATTTGTCACAATTGCAGTGTGTTTGGCCATGTCAGACACGGAGGCGCAGACGGCTCCCGGCAGCCCTGCTGCTCAGAGCTGGCGTCCCAGGCCAACTCTTGACCAATGCGCCACTCGGCCGGCCCAATAAGTTTTGATTCTAAGAGTTGTCTTCAAAATTAAATTACATTTTTTTCTTTAAAACAACATGTTTTCATTACAAGGCATTTCAAAACACTCAGCACAAGCCCCATCCATCCTCCCTTCGTTCTTTCTTTCATTTGTTCATTCTTTCTTTCTGTCTTTTCTTCCACAAATAAATGACTGGGGGCTTTGATATCTACATTTGAATGACATTTTAAGTTCTACTAGTTAAGAGTTGTAGCCAAGATAGAAACATCATTTCTAGGGGTGAAACAGGCAACAGGAGGCACATTTGGCCACTGTTGAGATTACTACCAAAGATAAAAAATTCCAGAAAAAGTTCAGCAGCAGCGAATAGCAAAAGACAACAAATTCATTAGTTATTCTTATGTTTATCCATAAATTCCAAAGTCTAAGTGTTTTGTGGAGTGTTTATCCCTTGGCGGTGGCATTATGATTTGCAGCGTATGCATCACATTTCTGTCTCCCTCCCTGGCCAGCGAACACAAGGGGCCCACAGATCATGTCCTGTCACCCCTGACACCACTGTCTTCCACAAGCGCTTCGTGCATGGTAGACAGTAAACGTTTGTTAGATTGTTCAAGTTAATTTAGAGTATCTTTTATCCCTAATCTTATCTGCTTCCATATGAAAATGTTGACTTAGAGGGGACTCCCTGCTGTTTTGTATGTGTAATGATTACTTGTGGAATGCAAGCCTCATTTTATTTGTTACTAGTCGCCTATGGCCTGTATTTCAGTTACTGAGACACAGTAACTTTGGGAAATGAGCTACTTTCTTGTTTGAAGTGAGAGTAGAAAGTAGCAGATAGACCTGCACAATGATGTCTGCGGGCTGGTTAACTCTCTCCTCACATAAGAACCAAAACCAAAAGTTTTACATACTTTGTAACTTACATGATACCAAATAAACTATTTTGTCGTGGCTATTTCTTTGTAATATAGAGAGATTCGGTTGTGTTCATGTGGTTAATATCTCCCATGTAGCCTGGCCAAAGGAACAAAATTCTACTCTCCAGAAAGTAGACTGAATTGAAACCTTAAGCCATATGACACCTATCTTTAAGGAAGCTTATGTTACATAAAGTTTCCACACAGTAAACAATTCAGTCATCCAGTTATTTTGTCTGGATGATTGTCTGACTTTACTATTTTGTGAACAAGTTATTTTTGCTTTCATATTTTGCTTTCCACGGCCCAGTCTCCATGCTCCACCTCCTAATTCACCTTTGAATAGTAAGCGGCGGGAATGTACATATATTTCCATTCGAATATCTATCTTCACAGAGAGGCAGACTCCAGGTGTAAGTTATCCTCAGGCTAGAACAATAAAGTTGGTGTTAGGATTCTTGGGTTCTAATCATTCACTTAACAGTTCGCTCATTAAAAAATGCCAAATACCTACTACATGCAGAAATCTGTGCTAAACGCTGGGAGTTCTATGACATGGAAAATGAACTCTTAAGTGGGCCCTTGTGGGGAAATGACATTCATCAAATCATAATATAAATATATAGTGACAGATTGCAATACGTGCCCACTTTGAGGGTATATACGAGAACCTGACCCAGAATGAGGAGTCTGAAGGGCACCCCTGAAGCAGCAACATTGAAATATCAGTAAGGGCAAATGGGGTGTTTCTGGCAGAGAAAACGGCGTCACAGTGGCTGTAAGATGGGATGGAGCCTGAGAAACTAGAAAAAGGCCTCTGTGGTTCAAGCTCAGAAAGCAAAAGGGACAGTGACACGACAGCGGGGCCCCACCACCAGGGAAGTTTTAGACCCTGTGAACAGTTAAGGACTTTTCCCCAAAAGCTAAAATCTAAACCTATTCATCAATTCGCCAACACATCTCTATTAAGAACGATTTTCATCTCTAATCCTTCATCAGTGAACCAAATGCTCTGCCCTCTTACAGCTTTCATTCTAGTTGGGGAGATGGAAAAAAAAAAAAAGTAAGCAAAGAAATATGTGGTCCGCCAGGCAGTGATAAGTGCTTTGAAGAAACATGACGACGTGTGAAAAAGAGGTTCGTGGGTGGGAAGTGGTCTTTACATCAGGGGTCGGAGCAGAGAGCTGATGAAGAGGCTGAGCTTCAAGGTCAGCGGCTGGAGGATGAACCTCTGGGCTGGGGGAACAGTAAGGGTGGAAGCCCCGAGGCCAGAGCGTGCCGTGTGCATTCCAAGGACAGCAAGGAGCTGAGAGGAGGAGGAGGCGAGCTTAAAGGTTTGCTTGGGGACCCACAGTACTGCCAGTTCTGTGGCTCCTACTCTGAATGGAATGAGAAACTCTTGGAGGGCTTGGAGCTGGGAGAGTGATGTGTTCTGACAGGTGTGCAAGCATCTCTCTACCTGGAAGCCGGTAAATAAACTAAGGAGGTCACCATGGAGACACGAAGAGCAGTCAGGAGGCTGTTGCAATGCTCAGGCCAGAAGTGGTGGTGGCGTGGACCAGAGGGTAACAGACAGTGGGACAAAACGGGGGATTCTGAATGGATTGTAAAGGTCGCCGAAACATGTTTGCTAATTCACTGTGTGTGGAGTGGAAGAGAAAGAACAAGAACAAGCCAAGAACGGACTCTTCAAGTGTTTGTCCTGAGCCACTGGAAAGTTGGGGTGTCACTTACTGAGAAGAGACAGGCTGCAGGAGAAGCTGATTTGGGGGCGAGAATCAGAAGTTTGGATTAGATACCTAAAGTTTGACTTTCTTAGTAGTATCTAAGTAAGGATGGTAAGAAGATAGGTGTATGTAACAATTAGGTCAGAGTTCAGGCTGATGACGTAGATTTGGGCATTGTTAACTAGCAGGTGAAAGCGATGAGCCTGGATGAGGCCGCACAGGTGTGAGCACAGGTGGGAAAAAGGTCGGCGGGCACCGGCCCCTGCTTCCATCCGGGGGGAGGTACAGCTTGGGGAGGCGAGGGAACCACAGAGAAGACTGATGGAGTAGAAAGCCATGCTGGTCATTGTGGAGAGGGTGTTGTGTGGATACGGAGAGAACGAGAGGGAGCGATGCCCAGGAGGTACAATCTGCTGACTCTTTGCCAGGGAACCAGTGAGCAGCTCTGGGCTCGCTAAAACTGAAACCACTGTGTCCTCATGTGTAAGAGTATAGGCTTTAAAAGATAATGAAGGGCCGGCCGAGTGGCTCGTTGGTTAGGAGTTGGCTTGGGATGCCAGCTCTGAGCAGCAGGGCCCCGGTTCGGATCCCACATGAGGGCCAGTGATGCTGCGCCCTCTACAGCTAAGATGGTGAACAACAGCTCCACCTGGAGCTGGGCTGCCGTGAGTCACCGGTGGTGGTGTAGGCTGCACTGCCATAAGCTACCGTGTGTGGCTGGCAGCCATCATGAGCTGCCGGCAGCCTGTGTGAGCTGCCAAGAGCCGCAGTGAGTGGCCGTCCAGTGGCTGGCGACCAATCAGCCTTACCCGGGAAGAGCGCAATGATAATACCAGCATGGGCCAGTGAACCGACTTCCTCCACAACTAGACTGAAGAACAAAAGGACAGCAACTTGTCTGTTCCCCTCCCCCAATTCCCTAATAAAATCTTTAAAAAAAAAAAAAAAACGACAATGGAATGAAATCATCTCAGTTGTTCAGAGTAAGAATGTATAGCATTGTTAGAGTTAGTTATATTCTTATTTCTGAGGCATCATGAAAAACTCTGAGGGGAAAGCACAGAGCAGAACGTTCTTATTTTTTCAATTTGCTTTAAAATCACTAGGTCATTTATTCCCACAGAAAAGCTTAGCGATAGAGAAATACATCTTTCCACTGACACACAGTGATCTTTCCTTTTTAGAAATGTTTCTCAAGCAGTGATTATGCCGGTCTCAATGGCCCCCTTTCCCACAGGTACTTCTTTGTGGTTGAAGAAGACAACACCCCCCTGTCAGTGACGGTGACCCCCTGCGATGCGCCCCTGGAGTGGCAGCTGAGCCTACAGGAGCTGCCAGAGGAGGCCAGCGGGGAGAGCTCAGGTAAGCAGCACGACAGACCGGCCCAGCCTCCGCAGGGAGGGCCAGAAGGCTTGGGACACACACAGCCTTCCACAAGTAAGGAAGAACCGCAGGATGCACAGGTGACTCACGCTGGACAGTTTACGATGGCGATGAGGGAAATGCGGGGTGGCGTCAGATGACCCTGATCTTGGTAAAATCAAAGGTTAGGAGAGGCAGGTATGGGGCTGAAGGAGCGAGAAAAAAGGAGAGCGCTTTGGGCTCACCTCCCTGGCGATGGTTTACCACCCCACCTGAATGTTGAGATCACCACTGGGGGCTTTAAATACTACTGACGTCTGGATTCTACCTTCAGAGGTTCTGATTTAATAGCCCGGGGCTGTGGTCTGGGCTTTGGGACTGTTGAAAGCTCTCCTTCCCCTGGTGATCCTCACATTTAAAGAACATGCTGATAACGGAGAACAACTCATGAGATGCACGGACAGGAGAGTGTGCAGGGGGCCCTGGGGCCATGCTGCCCTCTCAGGGCTGGCACAGCCTCAGAGCTCAAAGGATGCGAGCAAGCTGCTACTTGACAGTGACTAGGGACCCTTGTGATTAGGAAAATAGTGAAAGTGCACACGGGGAGTGACAGGCTGAGAGAAATGAGTAGCCACGTGATACTCGTGTTAATCTCCTGGTTTGGGGATCCGAAATTCCACACAGCTCACTCTCCACCCGCAGGGATAAGCTGGAAAAGGTCCCCACTCTGGCTCCCCAGCCTTCTGGGTCCTCTCAACTTCTCTGCATACTGATGCATACCTGCGTGACAGCTGATAGTCACAGTAACAAAAGATGGAAGGAATTAGATTGTTTTCAATACTTTCCCTTCATTACTCCTGGACCTGTGTTCTGTGCATTGAAAAGGAGGTCCTCTTTCTCCCTTGTGCTTTCTGGTCTGTATTTCAATGAGTTGCCCAGTCCCACTAACAAAAGGGAAATTAGTGAAATGGCTGGCCAGCAAAACGCAACTGACAGAATCTTTTTTGGTAAGCAGATTGAGAGTATGAATTAATCTCCAAATTTTTGCAGCCTTTGACCTAAAAATTCCACTAATGGGAGTCTATCCTGAAGAAATAACTCAAAATCAGAAAAGGCTCACATGTATAGAACACCGCTATTTATAATGGTAAAAAATCAACCAAGAGTATTATTTTTATGCTATAATATTAAATGAGAAAAACAGGATTCAAAAACGGAGGTTTGCCTAGGTACATATATGTATGAACATGAATGTTCTTAAGTTACAGAGAAAAATGAGAGTACTGTCGATTGCTTAAAAACACGTCAAACAAAAGACTGGATGGACATAAACCAAAATGTTAATAAGGGACCGTCTCTGGACGGTGAATGCATGGATGATTTTTTTGTGTGTTATTCTTCTCTACTTACCAATTTTCTAGTGGGAACTTGCACTGTTTTCACCATGGAGAAAGTCGAGAACGTAAGTAAGGCCTGCTCTGCGCAGCACGTGCCTGACCGGCCCCTGTGCTCTGTGTCTTGTAGGTGAACCGGAGCCTCTGGAGCAGCAGAGGCAGCAGATCACGAACGAGGAAGGCACGGCCTTATTCTCCTACAAGGGCAACGATGTGGAGACGTTCGTGGCGTCTAGCTCTCCGTCTGGTTTGTATCAGTTGGAGCTTCTGTCCACAGAGAAAGACACTCACTTCAAAGTGTACGCCACCACCACACCCGAGTCGGACCAGCCCTACCCCGAGCTGCCCTACGACCCCCGAGTGGACGTGACCTCGCTGGGCCGCACCACGGTCACGCTGGCCTGGAAGCCGAGCCCCACGGCCTCTCTGCTCAGACAGCCCATCCAGTACTGCGTGGTCGTCAACAGAGAGCACAACTTCAAAAGTCTGTGTGCAGCAGAGGCCAAACTGAGCGTGGACGACGCGTTCATGTCGGCGCCCAAGCCCGGCCTGGACTTCAGCCCCTTTGACTTCGCCCACTTCGGGTTTCCTTCCGAGAGCGCAGGGAAAGAGCGTGGCTTCCTGACCAAGCCGCCCCTCAAAGTGGGGCGCCACGTGTACCCGCGGCCCAAGGCTGACATCCAGAAAATCTGCATCGGGAACAAGAACATCTTCACGGTCTCCGACCTGAAGCCCGACACCCAGTACTACTTCGACGTCTTCGTGGCCAACAGCCTGAGCAACATGAGCACGGCCTACGTGGGCACCTTCGCCAGGACCAAGGAGGAGGCCCAGCAGAAGACGGTGGAGCTGAAAGATGGGAAAGTGACCGACGTGTTTGTGAAAAGGAAGGGAGCCAAGTTTCTGCGCTTTGCCCCGGTCTCCTCCCATCAAAAGGTCACCTTCTTCGTTCACTCGTGTCTGGATGCCGTGCAAATCCAGGTGAGGCGAGATGGCAAACTCCTTCTGTCCCAGAACGTGGAAGGCATCCGGCAGTTTCAGCTCAGAGGCAAACCCAAAGCAAAGTATCTCCTCCGACTGAAAGGAAACAAGAAAGGAGCGTCCGTGTTGAAAATCCTGGCGACCACGCGGCCCAGTAAGCAGTCCTTCCCGTCTCTCCCCGAGGACACGAGAATCAAGGCGTTTGACAAGCTGCGCACCTGCTCGTCAGCCACCGTGGCGTGGCTGGGCACTCAGGAGAGGAACAAGTTCTGCATCTACAAGAAGGAAGTGGACGACAACTACAGTGACGACCAGAAGAAAAGGGAGCAAAACCAGTGCCTGGGGCCAGACACGAGGAGGAAATCAGAGAAGGTCCTCTGTAAATATTTCCACAGTCAAAACCTGCAAAAAGCAGTGACCACAGAAACAATTAAAGGTCTTCAGCCTGGGAAAGCTTACCTGCTGGATGTTTATGTCATAGGGCACGGGGGGCACTCTGTGAGGTACCAGAGTAAAGTCGTGAAAACCAGGAAGTTCTGTTAGTCACCTGCTGGAGAGACGGACTCCGTGGAACTCCAGGACAGACGGTAGATCGCTCCGAGTGTGAGCTGACTACTCCCACAGCTGAGAGGAGTTGTGACCTGTACTTGTACTTGGGGAAGGAAGGATGCCAACTAGTGTACTTGTTGGAGCAGAGTGTTCTAGCGTGCCCCAGTGGTACCAGCGTGCGTCTGATGTCCACTCGTGTTGAAGACAGAGGACATCTCGAAGGGACGGCCATCCCTTGCTTTGACCACTGCATGAACTGCTTCTAAATTATTTTATTACCTAAAAATTTAAAATATGCCATTCGTTGCACACAGCCACAAAATGCAAATCATTCCTCTCTATAGATGCTAGAATATATATATATATATTATATATAAATTATTTTATAAAGTCTTGTTTTAAATGTCAGTGTTTCTATGATTGTAAACTGTTAAATTCTTTTCCCGTTATAAAGTACAGAGCTAATCTAAGTATATGAAGTGGACAGCCTCTAGTCATACAGTTATATTGTAAATTCTTATCTGTCGAGTAAAATGTTTAAATGCTGTATGTATCTCATGTACAAAGTTGACATACATTATATTCATGTACATAAAATTAAAGATATTAGACTATGCACTGCTCGTTTTCCCAAGCAGCTACCTTGGTTTATTCAGTTTCTATTCTGTCCCCCAAACTACACCTATGACTTTGGCACCAGAATTGACCCTTTTTTTAATAGTCAAAAAGGCACGCTGCGTGCCTCTCAAGTTACTGTAGCATTAAAGACTATTACTGCTGTTTGTGTTTTGACAGTGGCTGTTGTGAGAACTGAGAGAGCTGCGATGGGCATGTTTTGAAAGAATAAGACAAGTCAAACAGTAGCCCCGTAAGTGTTCAACAAATCGTCCTTAACACCCTAAACTATCTCACCTTTATTTTAAAAGTAAGCATCTATTTTAAGTACAAAATTTGGGTAATTCCAAGTGTTTTCCATCTGCTTGAATATTAGTGAAATAGTTATTTGAATTCCAGCTGAAGCAACTTAGCAACCCACCAATAGGACTGTAATTAGTAACAAGAAAAACTACAGAAGCTGCTATTTTGTAACATTTACAGTCTGATACCTTTAACTTTGATTTTTCATGAATTTTTAAAGAGTAATTTAGGTGAGATAACGTTTAGGCCAATACTAACAGAAACTGTGTATCAAAGACCCTGCCCAAAGGGCAGTTTTAGATCATTTCATTTTCCCACAGATTCCATACATGAGGTGCCATGAGAACATTGGACCAGACGCATCAGTCTGGAATTTATATAGTCATCTAAGCAGTATGACTTTTGGGAAATCTGTGACTGCCCATTGTCCCCCTTTCCCATTTATAACATTAGGTGGTGACAGACTTGGCTACAGTGATATTGTAGGATACCTTCTGTCTACGACATTGTCTTTAGTAGAATTCTGTGATTCTATTAATTGCAAAGTGTGTCCAGAACTCCAAGTGGGGGCTGGTATAACCGTTAACCTCTCCACTGGCCCCCACATGCTGGTACCCCCTTCAGATGGTGGGTGTACATGAGTGGCGTCCCCGAGGGGTACAGAACCGCTGTTGCTCGGGCTGTGTAAGTCACCACTCCAAAGGCCCTGGCCGCCTTAGGAGAAACTGTCCCCCTGAGAATGTACCCTCCAACTCGTCAGCGTTAAGATACTAAATCAAAATGTAGCACATCTGTACAAAATAGTAATGACTCCTGAAATAACTTTTTAAAAGAGCATGTGTGTAACCAATGGCCATGTAACCAACCACAGAAACTTCGTTGGTTGACAGGAAACCTTGAAAATGGACAACATCCCAGAGATGTTCTAGCCTAAGTTATAAATGTGGTGCCTCTGGAAGGAGAACCCACTTTCTCATATTACGCACAAATATATTATTACACGGTAATGTGCTAAATTCACTGACGTCAATCAGAGTTATTGCAGTTTCTGAAGGGATGGACTAAATCTCAGATATTGCTAATGCCTGGGGAACCCTGGGAACCAGGCCAAGTCAGTGTAACCGAGATTTTACTTTTCAGCTGGCTGTGAGGGTGGTTTCCACATAGCCTGGATACATCCGAGAACTCTTGCATGGCCCCAGTGAAATTTGCCTTTGAAAAAACTACAGGAAGAAAATGAAAGACACACTGTAAAACTTCTATCACTCATGAAGAAAAACCTATTAAAAGTAAAGCTCCCTTATTTACTAACATGTTTAGATTTTAGGAGCATCCAGGTGAACTGAGGACAAGAAAGAAACGTGTGTTCCTAATTAAAAGAACTAGGAAGTTGCTGCTAGAAAGCACCACTCGTGCCCATGAAGCCCCAGGTAGCTGTGCTGGGAGCACGGCATTTGGAATCTCTGTTAGGACACCCAGACTGTCCCTGAGGAGGGCGGAGTCTGGGCACGTTTAATTCAAGTTAAATATGTTTTATTTTTCAGGTGTCAAAAGAAATTAAAGACCAGAGAAATAGAAATAAAATTTCATAGTCGAAACAGATAAGTAGTGGCATTGCCCAGACTCCAAAATCCTTACCAGATGTAAATCACCAATTCTTAGGGGGTGGGGTGGAGTAGGGGGTGGGGAGTCACTTGTGGATCCTTTTCCAAAAGGAAAATACACTTTTTGTCTTATTTATGATTTCAAAGCAACTTATTCTTAAAGACCACTTTCAGATTTTGTTAAGAATGTGTGTGTAACCTATCACTGACAACTCCAAACTTGTAATAAAGCAATTCATAGTTAATTTAGAGATAACAGAGTATGCTAGTCTAGGTTTGCATGCACACACAAACTTGAGGCTGTAAAATCATTAGTCATTGTTTTCATGATAAGCCCTGTATATTTTTAGCTAAAACTTTTCAGAACCTATAAAAATTACAGCAGGTGATTTTCTTGGTTAAATTACTTGATAGTCAATGTCTAGATTAATTTTCTAAACATGCATTAAAGGATTAGGTAAAAGAAATAGAAGGCTCTTGGTGTTCTCCACAGAAAAGTAATTGGTTCTAAGACTGAAGGGCACAAGGCCTTATGCATACGTTGTTTTTATTCAGATACTGATAAAGATGGAAGGGACATATGCATTCTTTATTTTTGTCATTCAGAATACATTTGAAAAAAAGGTGGTTTTGGAATCCTGAAAAGCCTAATGAAGTGACTTCCAAAAAGTCACTAAGATGAACATTCGGGTTTGAAACCAGCTTAATGGCTCTTAATAGTTTGGGAGGTCCAGGCACCTTCCCTGGAAACACACGCGCAGTTTTTGTACAATCCAGGGGCTCTGATGGACATGTAACCAGTCGGGATCTCTTCCAACACCAACCAGCCCCTCTTAGAAATCATCTCGTCTGTCGACTGCCTCATTCTAGGCGAGGAAAGTGAGGCCCAGTTACAACCAGAACCCAGATTCCTGTGCTTCCAGTTTTATGCTCACTCTGCTCTTCATTTCAAGCCTTCCTTCACTCCAGAAAGCTACAGCGACTCAGCCAGAATTTACTTCCATGTCTCTGTTCACTGGCTGGCATCAAATCAAAACAAAACAAAATGTAGCATCTGACGGGAAGAACAAAGTCGTGGAGGATGTGTGGCCACTTCCTGTCCCCCTTTGATAGGGTGTGATAGAGATGAAGTCATCTGGGGACTAGACTTTGGGTCTCTCCCCAGGACCGAGTGCAGTGGCCGCTGGCAGACCTCAGCTGTCCTGTTTGTAGTGGTCCGCAGGACTGGGCGGCATCAGGCCACACGTATTGTGTTTTCCCCAGAGTTTCGGCCAGAAAGACATACAGTGTTTTGGGACGTGGGCCTTTTTTGTTGTTTTGAAGGTGGAAAGTGGGAGAGAGAAGAGCAGGAGAGACGGAGCATGGATAAAGCACGGTTTTATCTCATTTCTTTCTCTAAGGGGCCTGAATTCAAGGAAAGAGATGCAATAGAGTTGAAATGCAGTAAGGTTTGGATTCTGCCCTACATGCAGCCTTACGCTGGAAAACGTGACTTCCATCACCATCCGCTCTAGTAAGATCGAATCCCACTGGCAGGCGTCCTCGTTCCCTGGGAATGGTGGGTCGTGTATCTGGGTAAGATGGTCCTCATTGCTATCTGTTTATGTTCCTCCTCCTCAACTTTCCAGAAACAAACTTCGTCATCAAAGGTTAGAGATGAAGTTAATTAGAACAGCTTTTCGTATTCCTGATGCCTCTTTCAAAGCTGTTTTGAATATTCTTTCAAAGTGTAAAAGAAATAGAAGGTTACTGGTCTCCTCCACAGAAAAGTAATTGGTTCCAAGACTGAAGTACCAGGCCTTACGCACAGCTCCACTGCTACTTTGATTTTCAGATAGTGATAAAGATGGAGTGGCATCAACTGTCCCACAGGTATCAGACGGGAAAAGGGTAGTGCGGGGCTGACACTGAGTCCTAGTAAAAGACCCATTAAAAACAAATAAGAATGAATTTAACTCGTTACCTCATGACGCTTCAGGGGAGAACTTTCAGGAAAGTGTAAGGTTTTCTTGAAACGTGTGAGAAACGTGGACTCCAGAGATTTGGGCCCAGGAACCCATCAGGCAGCCTCTCGGGATGTGGACATGTCCCAAGACTTCAGACTTTGAAATAACCTTTTTTGAATTGAGACTGAGGTGTAAAACAGAAAAGTCACAACAGATAGGTTCTCATTATGGGTGATGAGATCCAGACAGAACAGTCTAGAAAGAATAACCACCTTACAACGAAGAGGTGGTGTGAGTATGTTGCTTTGTTTTTGAATCCAGTATTATTGTTGGAAACTGGTGAGGTCCAAGCAGCAATTTCAAAGTATTTCCAGGTCTCTCTCTTCCTGGGTAAATATTTGCCAAGATTAATATCCAATCAAATGGCCATAATTTGGAAATAAGCAAATACCCATTTCTTGTCTAAGTTAGTTCTCCATATGGTCCTACTAGCTCATGTAAATAGGACAGCACAGGATAATATAAACAGTTGTTTAAGATATATGTACTTGACAAGACCCCAAAACGTCCATATTTAATTATAACCTTGACAGGGTTTTGCTTCTGAGAAAAACTGTTTATAATAAACAGAACCAAGTACATGAATATATAGCAGGGTTAGAGGTTTGTTCAGTCTCACCCTTGTCTATAAAAAACTCAGACCTACTAAATACGACTGATATATTGGCTATTTTGATCACACAGGCTGGAAGAGTTGCCTGATGCCCCATCAACGAACAGTTTTTAGAAGCAGCACATGACACTCAGGAGTCACAGAAATGTCTCACAGGCCAATGTGTTTGACCCAATCTGGGCGCTTCTGCAACTTATATGGCTAAAACAACAAGATTGTGGCTTAACCGCTTCGTTATAACTACACACATGGTTTGCTATGTGAGCAATTAGCTCAGAGCCACTGGTGTAGTCCCCGATGTGGCTCATGTCCCATGGTTGAGTGTCCCATGTCCCATCGTTGAGTGTCCGTGTATCAAGGCAGCCCCAAGAAGTTTAGCACCATTTCATGTTTACAGCCTTTTCTGGATGTAGTAAGAACTTTAGTAGAGACGAGTAAAGAGGCAGACAAATGGGAGAGACCAACAAGTAAATATACATTGTTTTAAATAACCAACTAAAATTCAACCAGTTTTATTGTGGTAAAATGTCATTTTGCAAACATGTTTTTAAAGCAATCACAGACCCTTGCGGCTGACTGTTTGTAAATGGTAGTATTGAATATCCTTCCTGCTAAAGAAAGCTTGCCATTCTTCCTCAAATAACGAGGCCAGCATCTAAATTACAGGTTGCCGAATTTTGCTTTTTTTTCCATCTTGCACATGGGCTGTCCACGGGCGCTCTTCAGGTATGGAAAAAGATGACAAAGATATGAAACCAGGGTAAGATCACAGCATTTACATTCAATTTACAATACTTGTGTCAAGTTCTGTTGCCTAATGGCGGGGAGCTGGGCTTCAAACACAGCTGTGTGCTGAGCAAACTTGACTGCTCGAAATACTGAACACCAGTTCCTTTGCCAAGTCCAAGGGTAAGCATTCTGGGAGCGCTGAGTTGAAATGTGCAGATAAATACTCTCAGTCCTGGGGTTTTTGGTGCCAATGCACACAGAATACTTAGGTTCTGCTATGGAAATCTTGGAAGAACAGAACTGTTTTGAGTATCTCTGAGGATTTCAAACAGTTCTTAGACGACTTATTACCTTTCATAAAACTCACTCCTCCTTTAAAAGTCTCTTGGTGACTTACCTATATTAAAAAGAGGAAAAGGATACTTTTTGGTCCCACTGAGTTTTCATTTCTCTGTTGAAGTTAAACACGCTAATAAGACAACGGGCAGCAGTAGAAGGAGCATAAAAGCAGGGCTCTGGGAGTGTGTGTTTCCAACTGCTGTGCCTTGAGCACGCACTGGTAAAATGAGAGGACGATGATCTCCGAGATCCTTTCGGAAAAGCAGGGAAACTAATCACCTTTAAGCACAGAGTGAGTGCCAGGCATGTGAAATACAGCTATTTAATCCTAACGACTCTGAGATGAAGATACTGTGTTAGTCTCACTGAAAAGCATGGACATAAGGAACAAAGAACTTACATGTGCTCAAGGTTGCCGCGTGAACACGAAGTGGGTACATCTGGCCCCCGCTTCCGCGTGGATGGTTGCAAGCTCTAGTGCTCACTCGTGAAGCAGAATCTCACCACAATAGGATACACGAGGAGTAGATGGATTAAAATGGAGGGAAATTAAAATATTCTCAGAGCTTGGCCTGGCCAAGTTATCCTTGACGTGGATAAATATGGGGTAGAGAGAGAAGAGAAACCATTCACAAAGTCCTGCTAAGTCTCGGACTGCGTAGAATTTCTCTGTTTTCGTGGTTCTTAGACCGCGTCACCCACCCACGCTTGGTACTTGCTTACTGTATAGACTTTGTTCCGATGCTGCCATGTGATATGATGTGTCTGGAATCTGATGCCAATAAACCTTTATTCAGTGCTCTTGTGTCTTAGCATGTGGAGAGTTGTTTGTGGTTGTTTCTGGTTTTGTCTCCGCATTGCCCTCGTGCATTATGTTGTTAAGCCACACACGACAACCTCATGAGGTAGATACTATTATTTTCCACCTTACTGATGGAGAAACCAAGCACCAGAGAGGTTAAATAACTTCCCCAACATCACACAGCTAGTCAGCGGTGCAGCCCAGTGTCCAGTCCAGGGTTAGAGATAAAGGAAATGCTGGGAGGGAGAATTCTCATTGCCTGCCTTTGGGAAAGACCCTTTGTCAACGCTCGTCGCAGAATCAACGGGCACAGATTTACTTTACAGTTTGTTGGACTTGTGTTGACTCTCTAAGCACTTGCTTTGCTGGCACGTTGAGTACTTGTTACCTTGGTCCTCTGGTCCCCCTCCTCCACTTTAAAAATATTTTTGCCTAATTGCTAAAGTAATGTCGTTATTATACGTAACATGAAACATGAACCTTCACTCTAATTCCATCCCCCAGAGAAAACTATTTTTAACCATTCTGCTTACATTCCAATGTTCCTTCCTTCCCTGCACATAAACTAATTATTATCATTCATTTTTATCAAAAATGGAATTATACTAAATATAGTTTTGCAGCGGGCTTTTTTTTTTCATTGAACTTGATATTTTAGCCCACATTCCATGAGAGCTTGATCTCTTTTTTTTTTTTAAGATTTTTATTGGGGAATTAGGGGAGGGGAACAGCGCTGGGGAATTGGGGGAAGGGGAACAGACAAGTTGCTGTCGTTTTGTTCTTCAGTCTAGTTGTGGAGGACGTTGCTTCACTGGCCCAAGTTGGCACCATCATTGCACTCTTCCCGGGTGAGGCAGATCAGTCGCCGGCTTCTGGACGGCCACTCACTGTGGCTGCTGGCCGCTCACGCTGGCTGCTGGCTACACACGGTAGCACATGGCAACCTACTGCCACAGGGGCTGCAGCCTACGCCGTCGCTGGCGACTCACAGCAGCCCAGCTCCAGGTTGAGCTGTTGTTCAGCATCTTAACTGTAGAGGGCAGTGTCACTGGCCCTCCTATGTGGGATCCGAACCGGGGCCCTCTGGCATCCCAAGCCAGCTCTTAACCAACACACCACTCGGCCGGCCCTGATCTCATTTTTTTTTTTAAACATCGGTTCTTCCCAGACATTCTCCTCTGGTGTGCAAAGTGTGTGTCAGTATAAACACACAGCGATGGCCTTGCTCAGTTCAACCTGAAGCCATGCTCAGAGTCAGCGCGGACCATCACCTGTCTCTCCTACATTCATTGTCGCTTACAAGCTTTCTCTCCTTGACTTAACTCTCGTCCGGCCCCCCTATACCACGCAGGCCTGGATCATCAGCACCCCTCTTTGGTAGGCCATTGCCCAGTTTTAGCAGGGTCCTGGTAAGTCAGTTAAACAGAATCCCCATCCTGGATAGCTGATAACTCCTCATACCTGACCAAACTCGCATCCTTTCCCGTCCCTCAGGCAATTTCTTCTCACCCTGGCCTGCCTTCAGCAAGAAACCTGTGGGGTCAGTTTAGCAAGGACTGCCCTCTCCTGTCATTTTCCACCCACTGCCTCCTGCCTCCACCTTGCTCCGTGTCCATAACTCACCGCTTTTTTTCCTGTGTCGAGCTGAGTCCATTCTCTCTCCTCCACATGCAGTGGTCCCCACCCCTCCAGCAACAGTGCTGATTAAAGTCGGCCTCACCATCGTAACAAGCATCACACAGTCAAATGCATCCAGGCTCTGTCTTCTGCATCCTCAGTATCTTTGTGAGGGTTCACCCCGAAATATGGAATTTTGCTTTGGGGTTAGTGCACATGTGAGTCTAAGAATCAGACACACATATTAGAATATCAGTCCAAAGATGATAACGTCTTTAAAGCCCAGTTGAAGTGGCTTTCTCTATGAGCATTTATAATAAGCACGGCTTGGGGTGATTTGTGGTTTTACTCCACACAAATTGAGCTGACTTCTGGCGAGGAAAGCTGACATTCTACATAGAAATTGTGCCCGAGTCCATGGGACACCAAGGCTGGGTCAAAGGCAGGCTGGCTTCTTTTTCACTATCCCTGACATAAAGCACTCCCCCAGCCGCTGCATCCAGTAAGAGCAAGGGACCAAGTCCATTGGAAGCAGGTCTTCACTCTGCACTTGTTTTGAACCACAACCCGCTTCCTGTTTAGGTGGGAACAGTTCTAAAGGGAAGACTCCCCGTTCCTCCCAGCGCTCTCAAACAATTCTGTCAGAGGCGACATGACAGCAGCTTCAAGCCACCTGGAGGCTTTCTGCTTTGCAAGATGATTTGGTCGTGTTCAGGGAGGGATGGACCTGGCAGGCCCAGAAAAGAGCAGGAACCCGGCCCAGTATCTCAGTGGGTCGTCTTGGGGCTAAACGTCGGGACATCCTCTCTGACAAACGCTTGAGCAAATTACCTGTAAAGTTCCCATTTCATGCCCATTCCAAATTCTGGTTCCATGAAGTGACCATAAAAAAAGTAAAATGCAACTACTCTCAAGGGGCCTGTAGAGGAATAAACTAAGAATGAAAAAGTGTTTTTAAAGAGTAGCCAATGAAAATGGTTATTGCGTCTGCATTTTGGGCAAGATCAAAATATACAACTAATGCCAACATCTGGTTTGTTGTACAAATCCTGATTTTATATGTGTTTACAAAAAGATTACATGTATTTTATATAAATACACAGAGGATATAGTTATTTACAAAAGCCGTGTATAGAATAGAGCCATAAAATACCAGTCTTTGTCTTATGGTCTCATGATCCAGAACGAAAATGCCTTCTAATTTTTCTTTCTCGTGCGGCCTTTGCCAGCTTCCCCCATGAAGGCTACCTTTGCCTCACACGCTTAATTGGGAAGCCTTCTTTTTCTCTCCACCCTCAGAAACAATTTGTATATTAGGGGTTATTGGTGTCGTCAATATTTGATAAACGCATGTGTGAACTATCTGGTTTATTATCCTTTGAAGAGTTATGATACTTATTCTATTTCTTTACTGATTGTATACTACACAGTTTTCCTAATTCTTCTTGAGTCAAAAATTTAATTCATATTTGCGTTTAAAGTTTGTTATTTCATTTACATTTTCAAATGGACTGCTCCAAAGTTGTTCGTAGTATCATGTTATGGTCTTTAAATGATCTACACCTTCATAGTTTTAGTTCCTTTATTATTTTTTAAATTATTTGCTTCTAATCATTTTCTTAACATCTTCCAAAGAACTTGGCTAATATTATATAGGGATTCTCGGAAAGAAAAAGGACATTAGGTAAAAACTAAAGAAACATCAGTAAAGTATGGGCTTTGATTAATAATCATGTATACGTGTTGGTTCTTTTATCGTAACTAATGTGCCACACTCATATAGGATGTTGATAAGAAGAGAAGCTGGGTGTGAGGTATATGGGAACCCTCTATACCGTCTTCACAATTTCTGGGTAAATCTAAAGCTGTTCTAAAAAATAAAGTATAGTAAAAGAAGCAGATGTTGCCTCATGGCCTTAGGAAAATCTCAAAAACACTGCCAGTTCATGTCTAGTGTTGAAAAATATAGTTTTCTAGTGAATCCACCAGAATGTTCTGGGTATAAATACATCCCAAGCATCTCACTGAGTATGTCCACCACCGTGTGAGGTTACTGGGTATCTGCTGAATGAATGAATAAGTGTGTAAACCCTTCTGAAACTCAAGTCACTGGTTCTTTACTCCTCCCATTCATTCGGCAAGCACTTACCGAGTGCTTTCCACGGACCAGGCACCATGCTAGGTGTTGGGTTCATACAGGGAAAAAGCGGATGAGGTCACTGCCTTCCCAGACAGTCTAGTGAACGGTAAGCTATCTTTTCTGACAACTGAGTTGAGGCAAATGTCTCCTGGGGTCCCCCTAGGTCCAGCAGCAGCCATGTACAGCTGACACAGAGCAGCCCAGACATTCTCTGAGTCCCAAGTATGTTAGCCTGGGGAGGAAAGGAAGAAGAAGGCATTGATTCTTTAGAAGCAGGTTCGATGATTACGGTATACGTTGACATAAGAAAAGGAAGTAAAAATACCTGACGACAGTAGCCCCGTTTTCACAAATCGGGAAACGGTAACCCTGACTCGGACGTTTGCACACCATGTTGAAAGTTAGGAGTTCTTCTCTTGCGCGTCTTGCATCGGCTTAGGTATAGAGCAGAATCTGGGCCGTGGGAGCACATGGGAGCTGCAGACAGCACAGCCGCGGAGCGCTCAGTCAGAGCCAAGAGCTGCGGCATCACAGGGCCATCTTGTCACAACTGAGCAGCAGCCAGAATTTGGCAGAGCGTTCAGGAAGTAGAACCTTCTAATGAAATTCATATATGTTTAAACTGTTTATATCAACTACACATGAGACATGTATCTTCACCAAGAAAAATAATACCTAAATTAGCACACTCTTAAAGTCAGACATTCCAAAGCCAGCCCCTCCACCTGCTAACAAGGTCACCTTGGATAACGTACTTGCTTAAGCAAACCGAGGCTCAGGAAGGTTATGCAAACTGCCTGAATCATCCAGCTGAGCCATGAACTCAAGCCTGACTCCAAGGCCTAGGGCCTCTGCACTTCCCAAGGCTGCCTTCCTGAGCAGAGAGCCCTGGGAGGTTGGGCGTTGTCACCACGCATGGTCAGCTGTCTGTCCCCAAGAAAGGACTGCCCAGAGTGAGTGAACGGGCCACACCCTGCCACACTCCTTACTGTTGAGCTAAAACTCTTGTTTTCTTCCACTCAGCAGGAGTGATCCTCTTTTACTTTGCAATGCATGATAAATCATTCAAGCAGTGGGTCCAGTGTATCACATTATTCATGTAAAAATAAAAGTAATAATTAAAGCTCAGGGTTACTGTCTAGTCACAAAAGCTGAAAACAGCTTCTCTTTTCCTTTGGATTTCGCATTAGTTTACTACGTGGAACCTGTTTGAGAAAACCTGTGACATTCCTGGTTGACA